TGGCGTAGGCCTGGCGTCAAGTCGACGGCGGCGGTCATTAAAGCGGATGAGGAGTCAGTCTGGGCATGGTGCATAGATCGGTGCCGGCTTGAGCAGCTGCGGTGGCAGCGTGTCGGCGGCTGCGGTGGCGTGGGCGAGGTCGAGGGGGGCGGCGGCGTGAGCGGCGGCGGCGGCGGTCTGGTATTGATGGAGGGTGGCGGCGGCGTGGGCGAGGTGGACGGCGGCGGCGGCGTGGCCGGCGGCTGCGGTGGCGTGGGCGAGGTGGAGGGCGGCGGCGGCGTGAGCGGCGGCGGCGGCGGTGTGGTGGGGATGGAGGGTGGCGGCGGTGTGGGCGAGGTGGAGGGCGGCGGCGGCGTGGGCGACGGCGGCGGCGGTGTGGGGTAGGTGGAGGGTGGCGGAGGCGTGGGTGAGGTGGAGGGCGGCGGCGGCGTGGGCGGCGGCGGCGGCGGTGTGGTGAACGTGGAGGGTGGCGGCGGCGTGGGCGGGGTGGAGGGCGGGAGCAACCACCGCATTCTTAAATCTTAGCAGATATTCAGATAGCACCGGCTGTGAAGGCTGCACGGACGTCAGCACAGCCGAGATCACGCGCAGCACGCAGGAAAGTGCCGCAGGTGCGAGGTGGCGCCGGTCCTTGGCCCTTGCGGCCATGCGGGCAGAGCCTGGGATGCCTGAGTTGACATAGGCCGCGGCGGTTGTCTTTCTCTCGTTTTGCAAAAGTGCTAAGAGACTTGTTGTTACTAAGAGACAGCTCCACCCCCGCGCTGCCACACCACTCAGTCACGCATGGATCGCAGCTAGCGCACAGTCGCCTTCGAACTCCTCCAGGTCGCGCTGGCGCGCCGCGCCGTCCGGGCCGTAAGCGCCGAGCCTGATCTGGGCCCGCTCTAGCCAGCCGAGTAGGCCGGGGCGGCAGCGCTTGTAGGCCAGCGAGCCGCGCCGCTGCCGCCACCGCCGCTGCAGCTTCAGAGCAGAGTCGGTGACGAAGACGGGCGGTCTGCGCAGCAGCCGGATGCGGACGCAGCCCTGCGCGTCGCGGATCATCGCCGCAGCGTCGCGTGCCGTCCGCGGCTTGTCGCCGTTGATCGCGAGGATGCGGTCAAACGTGCTGATGATGGGTGCATCCTCGGAGCGGCGCTGCGCGGCGAGCGAGCCCGGCACTACGGTGCGCACGGTGGGATGCGCGGGGCACGAGCGCATCAGCGAGATGCCAATTCGGATCCCGGCTCGGGGCTTGAATACCTCCACCACCTCGCAACCTCCACTACCGGCAGTTGCTGCGCCGTCGCTCGTGGCGCCCAGATTGTCGCCGGGCGACTCGTCGCCGTTGTTGCTGCTCGCGGACGAGGGCCACCGAGGCCAGGTCAGGCGCATCGACGTGTCGAACATTGGGTTGAGCGCGACTCGACGTGGTTTGCGACGCCGATTGACCTTGTCCCGCGTCTCAACATGGTTGGAGAGAAAAGAGCTCTCGCCACACACGTACGTCCTCGCCCCTCGACCTGCCGCGCGCTGTCGCGAGCACATCAAACCCGTCGCCAGCCCTCGAGCTAAGAGGGCGACAGGGGCGGCGCGACGGCGCCCAAGCCGCCGACAGGTGAATGTGGCAATGCGAGCCCTCCTCCCCAGCGGCGCACCCGCGGCGTCCTCCATCTTTACCGTCTGCGGCCACTCCTCGGGCGGGTCGATGGCCTCTCAGCACGCTGTTGCCTTCTCGGACCGCGTCGCGGGCCTAGGGCACTTCCAGGCCGCTTCGTGGGGGTGCAGCCGCCTGATCAACAAGTCAACAGAGGACTACAACCAGCGTTGCGCCAACTCGACGGCCTCTCATGCAATGGCGGCCCTCGTCGCCTCTGCTTTTGAGCGCGGCGACATCTCGAGCCCCACCAATTTGCGGCAGATGCCAATCTTCTATTACGCCGGGGAGTGGGACACGATCGTCGAGCCAGCAACCGTCCGGGCGGCCGCCGGCTTCTACCAGCTGCTCTCAGAGCGCGTCGTGGGCCTAACAGTGGAAGGCGCCGAGCATGCATTCGTAACCGGTGCCAACTGCTCGGCGCGTGGCAGCGCACCACCTACCCACCCTGCACCATTCCTCACCCCTACCAGTCCGCCGTCCAACGGCCGGCCCTTGCCTTGCCTCAGGAGTGCAACGCCTGCTGGTATCTCGGGCCGCCTTTCCTCAACGACTGCCGCTACGACATGGCGGGGCAAAAGCTCGTCCGCTTCCTTCCCTGGGCCCCTCCCCGATACTACTTCGGAGCACACCCATAGGCCGGGCACATGCTCGCCCACCTCCTCGGCGCGCTCTCTCCGGCGGTACCCGCGCCCTCGAGGCGCCTGCACCGGCTCAAGCAGAGCCCCTACTTCCCGGCCAACGCATCCTGCGCCGACCTGGGGATGGGCCCGCACGCCTTTCTCTACCTGCCGCGGGGCTGCAGGAGTGGCCGCGGGGTCTGCCGCCTCCACGTCGTGTACCACGGCTGCTCCTCGAGCGTGGTGGCGATCGGCTCGACGGCCCTCGTGCTGCACGCCGGCTTCAACCCGTGGGCAGAGGCCAACCTCGTTATGGTCCTGTACCCTCAATCCAGAGGCGGCCTCTGCTGGGATTGGACGGGCACCTACACGCCGCACAAGAACGAGCTGTACGACACGCGCCGGAGCGCACAGCTGCTCGTGGTGGTCCGCCCGAGCGGCGACTGCCGGGCCGGCAGCATCGTCTCCTGACGCCGGCTGAAGCATTTTGAATAGGTCAACCGCATGGTAGACGCCGTGCAGGGCGATCGTGAGCTGCCCCTGGAGCCCCCGCAAGCCAGTCTCGCGTCCACTGAGATGCCCCGCGACACGTCCCACAGGCGAGCTGCCGCTTGACCCGTGCCTCGAGCCCACGTGCGAGGCCGAGTATGGCGCGGGGCGCGAGGAGGCAGCGGCGGCGACAAGCAACAAAGAGGCAGACGAGGAGGAGGTGCTCGAAGAAGAAGAGCTTGGGCCTGTGTCGTTTAGGGAGAGGGCTTCCTTGGCGGACCGGATGTCGCGGTCTGCCCGCAGCGCTGCCTTGTCATAGCGTACAACTACTGCCCTATTCGCACTACTGCGAGTAAAATTATTTTTCTGTACTGTGCCCTTTGTGCTGCCAGTTCGCGCCAGTCTAAGAAAGAAAGAAAACGGGGACGTCCCTAGGGCTGGGGGGAGGACAGACGCGTCCCCACCGTTGCAGGATTTATCGTGGCGCGGATGGACGCGGCGGGTTAGCGGTGGCAAAGGGTCCGACGGTCCGACAACCTCCCCGAGCGCGGGAGCGCGGCACTCGTTTTGGGCACTCATACGTGCTATTCGATGGGTTGCGAGAAAATTGTTCACAAAGCGTACTGTTCGGACGTGGCGCGCTCCCCGACATGCGACAAGGAGGCTGTCATGGTGGCTGTATGACGAGCACAGCTCTCACATGCTATGGGTCCCGAGTATGACATATGCGGCGCTCCCTAGGAGCTGGGCAGTCTGTCCACCTTAACTCTCAGTCTCGCCACGTGGCGGACAGATTGTGATCGACGGAATACTGAGAGACACCCGAGCAGCTCTCACGTCACGAGCGCTGCTGCTCGGCTGCATCCGCGGCCATCCTGGCAGCGGTCGCCTTGGCCTTCGAAGCAGCCGCAACAGCAACGCTCGCCTCTGCAGCGGCCGTCGCGTCCGCGAGCGCCGCGTTGGCCTTCTCCAGCGCTGCGACGATCTCCGCCTGCGCCTGCGCCGCCGCCGCCCGAGCCGCCTCTGCCGCCGCCGCCGCCTCCTCGTCCGCCTCCGCCTCCTCCTCCGCCTCGTCCGCCTCAGCGTCCAAGCGCACCGCCTCGGCCACCTCTGCCGACGCCGCCGCCTGGCTCTCCGCCGTGATGCCGAACCGGATCCTCTCCTCGTGACACTTCTCGAGAAGCCTGATCATTCTCTCCTCCTCGGCCTTCTTCGCAGCCTCGGCTGCGGCTGCCTCCGACGGCGCCTCGGCACCCTCCGCCGTCTCCTGCGACGGCCCAGCCGCGCCCGCCCCTCCGCCCTTCTTCTTCTTCTTGCCCTTCTTGCCCTTGGCGCGCTTCTCCGCTTCGACCTCCGCCAGCAGCTCGTCGGCGTGCCGCGCCGCCTCCTTCTCCTCCGTCGCCCTCTGCGCCGCCCTCTCCGCCGCCCCCGCAGCCCACGCCGCCTCCTTCGCCGCCTTCTCGGCCGCCGCCTTGGCCGCCGCATGCTCCTCGAGGGCGCGTACGCACTCGGTGTGGCCCTGTTGCTTGGCGTACTGCAGCGCGGTCTCGCCCTTCTTAGAGCGCAGCGTCATGTCAGCGCCCGCCCGCAGCAGGCAGAGAAGGGCGGCGGGATGGCCGTTGTCAGCGGCGAGCATCAGAGCGGTGTCGCCATCGTTGTCCTGCAGGTTGATCTCCGCGCCGTGCCGGATCAGCGTGTCGACACCCCGCTCGCGGCCTTCGTAGGCGGCGTCCATCAGCGCAGTGCAGCCAACGTTGTTTCGCTGGTCGATCTCCGCGCCGTGCCGCAACGCCAGCTCGACCAGCTTCTCGCGGCCGTTCGCGGCCGCGAGACCCAGCGCGGTGCCGCCGTTCTGATATGTAAACAAGACATCTGCGCCGCGCCGCAGAAGCGCCTCGGCCAGCTCCGCGTGGCCGTGGGACATTGCGACCATCAGCAGTGTCATGCCGCTCACGCGAGTGCCGTTACCAAAGGTGTACTCGAAGGTCGCGTCGACCCGCCCGCCGCTGTCGAACCACGCCAGCACCGTCGCCTCTTCGCCTCGCTCAGCCGCTAGCACGACCTCATTTGGCACCGCCTCGCTGCCCGGCGCAGCCTCCGCACCGCCCTCGCCGCTCGAGGCAGAGGCCGCGGCACTGGCGCCCGCCGCCGCCTCGCCTGCGGGTGCGCCGCCCGCCCCTGCGCCACCCGCCTCGGCCGACGGCGCCTTGCTCCGAGCTGCCGTCACCTCCCCGAGATACGTCCTGAAGGCCTCGTAGCACTCGGTGTGGCCCTTCTCCTTGGCGTACTGCAGCGCCGTCTTGCCCGCCTCAGTGCGCAGCTTCATGTCTGCGCCCGCCCGCAGCAAGCGGAGCACCACGGCGGGATGGTTGCAGAGGGCGGCGAACATCAGCGCGGTATCGCCGTTGTTGGCCTGCACGTTGATCTCTGCGCCGTGCCGGATCAGCGTGTCGACAATCCGCTCGTGGCCATCGTAGGCGGCGGTCATCAGCACAGTGCTGCCGTCGCTGTGCTTCTGATTGATCTCCGCACCGTGCCGCAATGCCAGCTCGACCATTTTCTCGCGGCCGTTGGTGGCGGCGAGGCTCAGCGCGGTGCCACCGTTGCTGGCCTGCAATGAGACATCCGCGCCGCGCCGCAGAAGCGCCTCGGCCAGCTCCGCGTGGCCATTGGTCATTGCGACCATCAGCAGCGTCATGCCGCTTGCAGGGCCGTCCAAAAAGATGTACTCGAACGTCTCGTCGACCCGCCCGCCGCCGTCGAACCACGACAGCACCGCTCCCACTTGGCCATCCTCGGCGGCCTTCTGAATGCTCGCAGGGACGTCGCCGCCGCCCTCCTCGAACGGCGAAGGCTGCGTGCCCCGCGCGGTGGGCATCGTCCAGGGTTCGGGCTCCAATGAAGCTAGGGAGCACTTTGTCGGGGCGCGCGGTTCGGAGAGGGCTGGGCACAGGGCACAGGGGATCTCTCTCACATAGGATACGCGCACTCGGCGGCACGAGGGCATTGATTGGTGCGTTGGTTGGATGGTTGGTTTCGTTGCGGCGTGGTTGAAACAAAGAGGAAACGGGCACCCTCATGCCCGTGGCTACGGGGCCAGTCGCGTCGCAGCGG